TTTAATACTTACTTTGGAAATAGCCAATTTTAGCTGTTGTGCAGCAGTGACATCTTTTCTTTCTAACTAAAATATCAATAAAAATTTATATTTAAAAATATAAAAAAAAAATAATATACAGTTAAAAATAAATTTTTATTAAATGTTTCTTTATCAAATAATGCACACAATTATCTTATATAAGAAATTTCTTAAATATTTATTACTTTAATCTTCATCTTCAAATAATTATAGTGAGCAATTTAATTTATGGAATTTCAATGTTATAAAAATTATCTCAACTGAAAAGGCTAACAAGTTTTTTTTTTAACTAACAACATAAATAGAAATTATTAATTTAACATAAATATATTATTTCTATTCATTCTTAACTTGCAGAAATGTTAATCTGAATCAGTAAAATCAAATCTTAACTTCATGCTAAAAAAATTTATTTTGAAAACAAAAAAATAAATTTTAGAGTTATATTTAATAAAACAATAATTTTATTTTAAACTTTATAAGAAATGATAACTAGGTCATCAAGGAATGGTTGATAGAGTTTTCAAAGGATGAGAGTAATTTACTTGACCCAGTTTTACTAATCATTTAGTAGTAATATAGATGGAGAATGGGTCATCCTTATTTAACACTGGCAATGTGCTTAGTGATATTTTTTGCTTTAGCAAAGATTACCATCAAACAAAACTAGGAGGATATACATTTCTTAAGGAAAAAAAGTCAGTACGAGGCATAATACAACCTTTCCTTTAAACTTTTCTTGTTTCATTTGCAAATTTTATACTGACATGTCCTCAAAACATCTGACATTTAATTTTGAATAAATTTTACATTTACATTCAGTTAAAACTTTTCAACTAAGATATAGGATTTCTGAAAATTAAAAATTTTATATATTTTTTAATTTTTTATATTAATTCAAATTTAACCAAAGTATGATCTTAATAAATAAAAAAAGTTGTAACTGAAAGAAATATACTCTAATAGTAATTAATGTAGCAAAACCTCTATTTACACATTATAATTTAAACTATTCCTACATCATCATTATAATATATTTATATTAATAAATAGAATGGTCAAGACAACATTAATACTGTATATAATCATCATTTCTAATGACAATTTTGTTTAATAATACTGAAGTTTCAATCTCAAATTACTATTATTCAAAACAAAACAAATTTACTGTTGTTTTTTTGAAAACAGCAATAAACTTATGAATCAAAAATAAATTCTATTTTTATGTTATCATTTATAGATCAAAATAAATCATATCAAAATTATAACAAATCTAAATTTAAAACAATATCTGAAAATAGAACCATTGAAACAAAATTATTTTTATATACTTTTATTAACATTTATTGCTTGTGGAAAACTTAGTATTAAGAAAATTGTTACAGAAAATTATATGAAATAGTATTTTTACTTGAAATGCTATATTAGTTTTTAAAAATGTCTTATCCTTAAAATTATTAATAAATATAATTTCAATGCAAAAAAGTGTGTACTTTATTTTATTCTACATTATATTTTCATTAATCTCAATAATTTTTTTTATATATAAAAGTAACTTTGTGTCTTTTGAACTTATTCAAAAATATTCTTTTCTTAGTTTTCCTTTTCTACTTTTTCCTGTTTCTTTCCATTTATATAAGATTGTCAAGTAGATAGAGAAATTGTACTTGAACTCTTTCTTTAGTTGCATACATTACTCCTACAAGGTTTTATTTCAACTGAACAAAATCATTTGTTCTATTCAAAGCTTAATATATTCTGAGAAATTTTAGAATAATGAATTTTAAAAATTGAGATTTAACATTGCTTAATAGTATTTTTGTTAGAAATAAAAATTTGAAAATGATAATAAGCACCAAGAAGTGATTTTTCATGTTAATGAATTATATAATTATGTAAAATTACATTGACTGACTGATTGATTCGTTATCACCCAGAGTAAACTGCTGAACCTAAAGATGTGAAATTTGGTACACAGTTAGGGTACATCATGAAAATATACACCAAGAAGGGATTTTTTGAAATTCCCCGTGGGAGAGAGGGAAAGGATTAGGGCTTAACCTGAAGAACGGCTTCTACTGAACTATTTTAGATGCAATTTTTTGTTTTTAATTGCATTTTAGTAGGGTACACCATGAGAATGCACACTAAAAAGGGATTTTTGGAAATTCCACCTCAGGGAAGAGGATTAAGGCTTAAAAAGTCTTAGTCCATAAAGGCAGTATCACAAATGTGGTTTACAAAGAAGTATTGGGGTAACAAACTATGTTTCTGTAAATATTTATACTTTAGGAATTTTCAGATAACGGCACTTATGTTTTGCAAAAAAAATTAAACTCAGATTTATTGTATCTCAGAATCCCATAATATTTGAAATTTGAATTTAGGTGCATTAGTAGTCCATAGTTTGAAACAAACAAAAATCAGTAACTTTGCCAAATTAGTAATAACTAATGATTGAGAATCATAGTGAAGTACTGAGGAGGATTATTTCTATCAAATTGCAAAATCCATGCGGGCAAAACTGCAAGTAACAGTTAGTCTAATATAATCTGGATGTCATTTTAAACTAATATTACAGAATAAATAATTATACAGTATTTTAGAAAGATTTATTTTTAAAATTTAAAAAGTTCAAATTATTGGCTAAGAATTATGAAACCTAATATTCAATATACTTTTTATTAAATTTTATAGTTAACTAGTAGTATCGTAATCCTAGACTTTTTAAAATTATCAATAATTACTTAAGTTATCATCACAAAATGAAATTTCAGCTTCTTATTTTTTATTCATTTTTCTTTTATTAGAATCAAGTTTATTTCTAATCATATATGTTAGAATTTTCAGAGCAATAGGATTAAAAATTTGATATGACAAACTAATTCTGCTACTTACTTTAAATACAAGATTTGGTTGTTGATATGAACTGGATTTAAAATGCAATGTTAGAACTTAGTTATTGCCATATTTTAGTTGTCATATATGCATACTGGCACTATGCACATATGATGAATTAAATATGTAACTGACAAATAGTTTTTCTAAAAAAACATTACTTCTAGTATGCATATATGGTAACTAAAAACAATTTTTTAAAATTTAGCTATAGCTATATCTTAGGGAAAATGTAACTATAGTTAAAAGGAATGTTTAATATCAATACTACTATTGCATTTTTCTATACTTTTTCTTTATGCATGCATTTATATAGTAACATTTGTAGTATTTTCCAAACTTTTTGTATGTCTCTAATTGCACTTTCTTTCCATGTATTGTTTGGATTTAGTGTCGGGTGCTAAATGGTGTCCTTTAGTAACCATATTTTCACCTCTCTCTTTCAAAATATCATTAGTGCTTCTTCATATCTCATTTCTTGACAAGAATGTAATGGGCACAATTTCCAGACAGTATCATACATTCATTGAAAAATGGCTTCCAACGAAATACGGGATCCCACCCATTTGCTTCTTACATCAGTTCAATTGGCGAGCTCAAACTTTATGTGAAAGAAGATAACCTCAATTGGCTGTGTAAGCTGGAAATTTTAGTGTCGAGTAAAAAGTACTTTTTCCCTTTTCAAAGGATGGTCAAGCTTTACTTTAAGAGAACACTAATACAATGATTAAGGTTTACCTCACTTTTGGTGTCTTTGTACCGCTGAAGATCTTGTAATACCTTTATGCTTATTGTACTGTGCATTTACTCTGTCTGTTACTGTACAAGGTCTGTACACTGTTTTCACCCTGGCCTCCGTGTTCATGAGCAGTTTTATTTGTTTTGATGAGGCCTTCTTCAATGTACACTCATTGTGTGTCTAATGTTGCACTAGGGTTGTGCAGAGATTGTATCCTTTCATACTGTACATATGCAAACTTTTTGTTTTGCTAATGTTCATGCAAACTTCAGTTTTGTGTTTTACCACTAGACTCAGGATGTCATAATTTTATATTTACATGTATTTTGTTTTCTTTCCTTTTTATGCCTGCTGTCAGTTTTCCTACTCAGCATGTCACTTCTATGTACACCCTGTATATATTCTGACCATGCCTAACGGTGTCAGGCAGAATAAAGTTTATTTGTCTGTCTGTCTAATCAGGAAGGTTTCCACTTGTGATCCACAGTACAATAATTCAGGGAGACAATTATAAAGACTGAAGAAGATTCAATACTGTATTATTATTATACACTTCAAAGATGCTACATGGATGGGAAACTGTTTTCTGTTTTATAATACACAATCCAAGACAACAGTGATATAAGCTGCTAATATAAATAACACAACTTAATTACCATTGAAGGGAAAACTGAGCCAAATTTAAACTAAAACTCTCTTAACATAAGTCTAATATATGAAATATCCTTTCACTGCAACAAAGGACACATTTAATAATAAATTTTAAAATATGCAAAAACAATACTTACAAAACCTTTCTTTTAAGTATAAAAAGGAAATAATAAATCTTTTAATTATTCATTACTTTTAATTTTTAATATTCTTACAGGATTAANTGTTTATTTCTTAAAATGTTAATTTTTAGTTTTTCAGATATGAAATAAATACATACTTCTCTACAATTGTAAATGAACAGCAGCAACAAGTTTTATAAATTTTTTACTGTTTGCAATATAAACATAGTTCACTTTAAAATTCTTTTGAAAAATATGAAATGTTCCAGTAAAACCATCCAATACAAGCCTCTCATTCAGTAGATTGACATATTATTTTTGAGATCATCAATGATAAATTGTAATTTATTAGTTACTGTTATTAAAAATCATCTTCATGCTATTAATTATAAATTATATTTACACACTTCTTTAATCAAACAAAATTTCAATAATCAAATATAACTATTTTAACTTCCATAGAAAAAGATATATATATATATATTTCTTAGTGAAACTTTGAACTCTGAATTATAATTAAATCTATAAAACTAAAGCCAGAAAAACCTCTAACATGTAGAAACACTAACTTGATTGTTTCCAAAAATGTTTTACGATCATTAATTTCATCTGGAATACGACTCAAAATTTTCTTTAAGGACGAAGACTTCCTGTTCAATTCCTGAAAACTATCTTCGGGACGACTACATTTGTATTCTGCAGTTAGAAAAATTTGAAACAATAAAAAATATTATATGTAACCTATCAAACTTGGATATATTTTTAACAGTAAATACTTAAACTAAGTTTTTAAAACTTATTGCTTAAAAAGGAAAAGGGAAAAAATTCTAAACAACAAATTTCATTTTGTTTATTATCAGTGTATTATTATCTCTTAAAATCATTAAACAAAATGAGATATGGATCAATTACTTAGTCTAACAATCAAAAATTCTTGCCCTACTATCTTCTACTTGAAATGCATTTCAAATGTCATATTCTTTATTAACATCCTTCTCCAGTCCCATTTGTAGTATTCTTTTATTTCTTTGTATTGGTCCAATTTCTTCTCTGTCAAAGTCATCTTTGAATAATGTTTGCCAGTAATGTTCTGCATATCACTATCTTCTACAATTATCATTCTCTTCTCTCTCTATACTCTCTACTTCTTTCTTAACATATTCATCCCAGATATATATTTCATCAAGTAGAAGAATTTTTGGTCTTTAACTAATTGATCTGTGTATCTCATTTTGTTTAAAGATTTTAAAGAATTCCTCTGATTTTTAAGAGATTTTAATAAAATTATATTTAATAAACAATCACTGCAAGTTATGAAGAATGAACTTCATTGCCTGTACAATATAACAAACATTACTTTTAATGTAAAAATCATGTATTGTATTATTATAAACTGAAATAATTAAAATGTTGATGCAAAAAATTTTCAATTAGCCTAGCTAAAATAATCCATTTCTTACCATTTGTGTCTGGAATTGATCCTTGTAACTTTAATAAACTTTCTGCCATATTTACTGATAACTCTGCTCTTCTTACTAATCCCATGACAAGATCATATACAAATCCTGTATGTGCTGCTTCAACCTAATAATAAAAATTATTAATTCCTTTGTTACTCCATAATAATTTTTCATATATCCAATTTGCACTTTTAGCTAATAAACAAAAATTTAAAACTATTGTGCTATATTGCTTTCTGCCAGTTTTGGTTTCAGTAAAATCCAAATCATTCATAAAAATTAAGTTTTGTTATCTGTTTTCTGTTCAATCTACAGTTTTAACATTTAAAATAATGCATGCTTTGTCATATATTCACTGTAAAAAGTAAAACTTTCCTAGCTTAATTTTCCTTTTTAGCTCTCTGAAAGTAAAATATTCATTAGATGTTTTCATTAAATTGAGTTATTGGATTTTAAAGGTTCTTGATGGTTTGTGAAATAAAACTCCCTTTATAACATGCAACTCTATTGCTCAACTTCAAACTTTCATACATATTTTTAGGAATGCATTAAATCTGAAAGGCAGGGACTTTACTTTATTGGAGTGAAAATTGTAAAGACTTTAAAAGCTAAGTGCTTTTGAACTATGGTGGATCATCTTCAAAGCATGAATTGTCAAAAATTAACCATTAGATATTTCAAAAAAAAAAAATATATATATATTTTAAAATTTCTTGAAAAGACATTTTTCCCCACATTCTAAATGAAACCCATTTCATTTTAGATCACAGAAGGACCATTTACTTTTTATTTGTATGTTTTACAATCAATAATTAATGTTTTGTTTCTTGCTTTTTGAAACTAAGGCTTGAATATTTAGATATGAAAGCATTTGGATTTTAAAGATTGAAAGTTTCATTTCAAATCTTAGTTTTCTTATAATTTTGAGTTCTGATTGGAGTTGAGATACTTTCATTATTTCAAACAGAATGATGCCACATACTAGAGAAACTACAAATATAGCAAAAAAAACAAATATAACACTAAATGTAAAAACTTATTAAATTTTATGCAATTTACATTTATTTTCAAGCAGGGTCACCTATACATTGGGGCAAGTGCCCCCCCCCCCTTTGTCTTTGGGTTGCTCTTTTCTTAATCCCCAAGGGAGCTCTGAGGTTTCATTTTGTTTTTAAATTAATTACTCTCTTTTATTACAGGAAACTTTTTTAGTGATGATGAAATTAAAATAAAAATATTTGTTATTGATTGAAAATTTGTTCTAGTGAGTGATGATTGTTCAGTCAAGTACAGTACCACTGTATTTGATTAACACAGTAGCAATGAGGTATTAATTAACTGCTTTAATCAAAAGATATATATATATATACACAAGTATCTTCTTGCATAATGTACTATGATGCCCTTTTTATAGCTTGTGTTCTCCCTTTTTATAATCTGCAGGCATTGCTGTTTTCAAGTCATTGCATTTTTAAAAATATATCTTCAGTAGTACCATCAAACATTACTATTCAGATTCTAAAGTTGTTTTTTTCTATTGTTAAATTTTATTTATATAATTAGTTAATGATTTATATTTTCATGTAAGTCTAAACATTTGCAATTTGTATAAAATTTTTAATAGTCATGTAATTATTAACTGAAAATTTTTCTCAAACAAAACATTGGTAAATTGCATTTCATCCTTATAATGTTTTTCTCTCTTATTTTAATAATTATAGTTTTATTTTTACACATACAGCAAGTCTTCACTTAATGTTGTTTCATTATAATATTGTTGAGTACTTATGTAATAATTTACAGTTATTTATGTTGAGTTTTGTTTATAAACAGTAAAATTGATTCCATGAAGGAATTAAACGCTAGAAGTTGCAAACATAATCCCATAGAAAACATAACTGTTGTTTATATAATTTAACCTATAGTAAAATTGGTTTTGTTATACATTGTTTCATTTAATGTGTTTATGTATTTATAATTGTAAATAATATATATATATAATAACATTTTTCAAGACAGCATTTTATATACACACATATACGTGAAACTGGCTGAAAAATTATTGAACTTTTAAAAATAATTTTCTAATTTTTTAAAATAAAAATAAGTTAACTTGAATAAAATAAAATAAACCTTTAACTATCCAGCAATAAATAATGTTTAATAAAACGTTTTCAACCGTTTTTAAACGGCCATCTTCAGTTGAACCAATATTAAAAAAAAACAGTAAAAAAAAACGCATAAAAACATAAGAATGCATAATTTATTAAACATTATTTATTGCTGGATAGTTAAAGGTTTATTTTATTTATATTATTCAATCCAGTATAAGTTCTCGTTTTTATTTATTTAAGTTAACTTGATAATAAAAGATGTATTAACCTAATTTCAAAACAAATTTAATAAAAACAAAATAATTTTGAACTGATTAATTTTTATTATTATTTATTGAATATAAACCAGTATTAAATGCCAAAACCATCACACATTTAATACAATGCTAATTCGAAAAACTTGTCTCTGATATTTATCAGCTGTCAAAATTAACCAATGAAAAGTAAGTAAACAAGGACATAATAAGAAATAAAAAAAAATCAAAATTTTTAAAATTTGCTCTATCTATCTACAATTAACCAGTAACTGGTGCAAAAATTCTTTAAAATCGGCGAACGTTTGATTCCCCTCCTGGGATCTTTTTCAGGCTTATTTTATTTTAGCTTTCGTTATAACCAGACTCTTTAATTCAAATGTTTTTGAAAAATATGAAACGTGCCATTTTTCAAAAAAATTTCGAAAATGGAAGGAATCTACATGTTATTTCAAATATAATTTTTACCAATGGGGAATTGTTGTGTGCAATACCTCATAAAATTTATCATATAAAATAACAAATTTATTTAAAATTTGTTTTTAAATTAGCTTTTTTTTATAGGTAAATTTTAAATAATTTAGTATTTAAAAGAAAAACATCTCAAGCTTGTTTCAATATTTCTAAAAATCATAACTGATAGCTTAATTCTATTTTGCATGTCAGCATTCAAATAATATTGGTAAGAATCCTTCATGAAACTTGGCACCATGATAAATAATACACATGACTGCTAATTAAGGAAGCCAAAAACTTTTTTATTAATAAACATTTGATATGCTACGAGTCATCTATAGAATTTAACATTGGAAAATGGAACACAGTTAACTGTGATTCAAAAATGTTCTAATTTCTTTTGGCATTCCATTTTCCAATGTTTTAATGCTGCAGATGATTCATAGTAAGTGAAACATTTCATTAATAAAAAGTTTTTGATTTCTTTAATTAGCAGTCATGTTTATTATTTATTGGTAAACATTTTTAAGTATATTTTAATAAGAGCTAAAAAATTTGTTAATTAAAATAAGATTATATTTAGAAAAACATTACAATTAAAGATTTAACAATATAATTTTTGGATTATTAAATGTCATATACAGATTGAAATAAATATTGATTAAAAAGATTAAAAAACTTATATATATAACTATATTATATGTAAGCATTATTGTAGTCCTTGTAGGACAAAACAAAATAATAATTAATTTTTATTGTTTTATTAAACAAATTTTCTTAAAAAAGTTACATATCAAATAACCAAATCTTTAATACTTACTTTGGAAATAGCCAATTTTAGCTGTTGTGCAGCAGTGACATCTTTTCTTTCTAACTAAAATATCAATAAAAATTTATATTTAAAAATATAAAAAAAAAATAATATACAGTTAAAAATAAATTTTTATTAAATGTTTCTTTATCAAATAATGCACACAATTATCTTATATAAGAAATTTCTTAAATATTTATTACTTTAATCTTCATCTTCAAATAATTATAGTGAGCAATTTAATTTATGGAATTTCAATGTTATAAAAATTATCTCAACTGAAAAGGCTAACAAGTTTTTTTTTAACTAACAACATAAATAGAAATTATTAATTTAACATAAATATATTATTTCTATTCATTCTTAACTTGCAGAAATGTTAATCTGAATCAGTAAAATCAAATCTTAACTTCATGCTAAAAAAATTTATTTTGAAAACAAAAAAAATAAATTTTAGAGTTATATTTAATAAAACAATAATTTTATTTTAAACTTTATAAGAAATGATAACTAGGTCATCAAGGAATGGCTGATAAAGAGTTTTCAAAGGATGAGAGTAATTTACTTGACCCAGTTTTACTAATCATTTAGTAGTAATATAGATGGAGAATGGGTCATCCTTATTTAACACTGGCAATGTGCTTAGTGATATTTTTTGCTTTAGCAAAGATTACCATCAAACAAAACTAGGAGGATATACATTTCTTAAGGAAAAAAGTCAGTACGAGGCATAATACAACCTTTCCTTTAAACTTTTCTTGTTTCATTTGCAAATTTTATACTGACATGTCCTCAAAACATCTGACATTTAATTTTGAATAAATTTTACATTTACATTCAGTTAAAACTTTTCAACTAAGATATAGGATTTCTGAAAATTAAAAATTTTATATATTTTTTAATTTTTTATATTAATTCAAATTTAACCAAAGTATGATCTTAATAAATAAAAAAAGTTGTAACTGAAAGAAATATACTCTAATAGTGATTAAATGTAGCAAAACCTCTATTTACACATTATAATTTAAACTATTCCTACATCATCATTATAATATATTTATATTAATAAATAGAATGGTCAAGACAACATTAATACTGTATATAATCATCATTTCTAATGACAATTTTGTTTAATAATACTGAAGTTTCAATCTCAAATTACTATTATTCAAAACAAAACAAATTTATTGTTGTTTTTTGAAAACAGCAATAAACTTATGAATCAAAAATAAATTCTATTTTTATGTTATCATTTATAGATCAAAATAAATCATATCAAAATTATAACAAATCTAAATTTAAAACAATATCTGAAAATAGAACCATTGAAACAAAATTATTTTTATATACTTTTATTAACATTTATTGCTTGTGGAAAACTTAGTATTAAGAAAATTGTTACAGAAAATTATATGAAATAGTATTTTTACTTGAAATGCTATATTAGTTTTTAAAAATGTCTTATCCTTAAAATTATTAATAAATATAATTTCAATGCAAAAAAGTGTGTACTTTATTTTATTCTACATTATATTTTCATTAATCTCAATAATTTTTTTTATATATAAAAGTAACTTTGTGTCTTTTGAACTTATTCAAAAATATTCTTTTCTTAGTTTTCCTTTTCTACTTTTTCCTGTTTCTTTCCATTTATATAAGATTGTCAAGTAGATAGAGAAATTGTACTTGAACTCTTTCTTTAGTTGCATACATTACTCCTACAAGGTTTTATTTCAACTGAACAAAATCATTTGTTCTATTCAAAGCTTAATATATTCTGAGAAATTTTAGAATAGTGAATTTTAAAAATTGAGATTTAACATTGCTTAATAGTATTTTTGTTAGAAATAAAAATTTGAAAATGATAATAAGCACCAAGAAGTGATTTTTCATGTTAATGAATTATATAATTATGTAAAATTACATTGACTGACTGATTGATTCGTCATCACCCAGAGTAAACTGCTGAACCTAAAGATGTGAAATTTGGTACACAGTTAGGGTACATCATGAAAATACACACCAAGAAGGGATTTTTTGAAATTCCCCGTGGGAGAGAGGGAAAGGATTAGGGCTTAACCTGAAGAACGGCTTCTACTGAACTATTTTAGATGCAATTTTTTGTTTTTAATTGCATTTTAGTAGGGTACACCATGAGAATGCACACTAAAAAGGGATTTTTGGAAATTCCACCTCAGGGAAGAGGATTAAGGCTTAAAAAGTCTTAGTCCAGAAAGGCAGTACCACAAATGTGGTTTACAAAGAAGTATTGGGGTAACAAACTATGTTTCTGTAAATATTTATACTTTAGGAATTTTCAGATAACGGCACTTATGTTTTGCAAAAAAAATTACTCAGATTTATTGTATCTCAGAATCCCATAATATTTGAAATTTGAATTTAGGTGCATTAGTAGTCCATAGTTTGAAACAAACAAAAATCAGTAACTTTGCCAAATTAGTAATAACTAATGATTGAGAATCATAGTGAAGTACCGAGGAGGATTATTTCTATCAAATTGCAAAATCCATGCGGGCAAAACTGCAAGTAACAGTTAGTCTAATATAATCTGGATGTCATTTTAAACTAATATTACAGAATAAATAATTATACAGTATTTTAGAAAGATTTATTTTTAAAATTTAAAAAGTTCAAATTATTGGCTAAGAATTATGAAACCTAATATTCAATATACTTTTTATTAAATTTTATAGTTAACTAGTAGTATCGTAATCCTAGACTTTTTAAAATTATCAATAATTACTTAAGTTATCATCACAAAATGAAATTTCAGCTTCTTATTTTTTATTCATTTTTCTTTTATTAGAATCAAGTTTATTTCTAATCATATATGTTAGAATTTTCAGAGCAATAGGATTAAAAATTTGATATGACAAGCAAACTAATTCTGCTACTTACTTTAAATACAAGATTTGGTTGTTGATATGAACTGGATTTAAAATGCAATGTTAGAACTTAGTTATTGCCATATTTTAGTTGTCATATATGCATACTGGCACTATGCACATATGATGAATTAAATATGTAACTGACAAATAGTTTTTCTAAACAAACATCACTTCTAGTATGCATATATGGTAACTAAAAACAATTTTTTAAAATTTAGCTATAGCTATATCTTAGGGAAAATGTAACTATAGTTAAAAGGAATGTTTAATATCAATACTACTATTGCATTTTTCTATACTTTTTCTTTATGCATGCATTTATATAGTAACATTTGTAGTATTTTCCAAACTTTTTGTATGTCTCTAATTGCACTTTCTTTCCATGTATTGTTTGGATTTAGTGTCGGGTGCTAAATGGTGTCCTTTAGTAACCATATTTTCACCTCTCTCTTTCAAAATATCATTAGTGCTTCTTCATATCTCATTTCTTGACAAGAATGTAATGGGCACAATTTCCAGACAGTATCATACATTCATTGAAAAATGGCTTCCAACGAAATACAGGATCCCACCCATTTGCTTCTTACATCAGTTCAATTGGCGAGCTCAAACTTTATGTAAAAGAAGATAACCTCAATTGGCTGTGTAAGCTGGAAATTTTAGTGTCGAGTAAAAAGTACTTTTTCCCTTTTCAAAGGATGGTCAAGCTTTACTTTAAGAGAACACTAATACAATGATTAAGGTTTACCTCACTTTTGGTGTCTTTGTACCGCTGAAGATCTTGTAATACCTTTATGCTTATTGTACTGTGCATTTACTCTGTCTGTTACTGTACAAGGTCTGTACACTGTTTTCACCCTGGCCTCCGTGTTCATGAGCAGTTTTATTTGTTTTGATGAGGCCTTCTTCAATGTACACTCATTGTGTGTCTAATGTTGCACTAGGGTTGTGCAGAGAATGTATCCTTTCATACTGTACATATGCAAACTTTTTGTTTTGCTAATGTTCATGCAAACTTCAGTTTTGTGTTTTACCACTAGACTCAGGATGTCATAATTTTATATTTACATGTATTTTGTTTTCTTTCCTTTTTATGCCTGCTGTCAGTTTTCCTACTCAGCATGTCACTTCTATGTACACCCTGTATATATTCTGACCATGCCTAACGGTGTCAGGCAGAATAAAGTTTATTTGTCTGTCTGTCTAATCAGGAAGGTTTCCACTTGTGATCCACAGTACAATAATTCAGGGAGACAATTATAAAGACTGAAGAAGATTCAATACTGTATTATTATTATACACTTCAAAGATGCTATATGGATGGGAAACTGTTTTCTGTTTTATAATACACAATCCAAGACAACAGTGATATAAGCTGCTAATATAAATAACACAACTTAATTACCATTGAAGGGAAAACTGAGCCAAATTTAAACTAAAACTCTCTTAACATAAGTCTAATATATGAAATATCCTTTCACTGCAACAAAGGACACATTTAATAATAAATTTTAAAATATGCAAAAACAATACTTACAAAACCTTTCTTTTAAGTATAAAAAGGAAATAATAAATCTTTTAATTATTCATTACTTTTAATTTTTAATATTCTTACAGGATTAACCACAGATAATTCTCATATAACATAGTGCTTAGGTTCCTATAAAATCTTGTATAGCATTAATATGTTATACCAGACTAAGGACTGATAAAAAAAAAAAAAAAGAGGATTAACTTCCAAAAGTATATCATTTTATTTTTATAACAATTGGAAATTTAATTTTTATTAAAAATAGTTTTTGTTTTGCCCAATTGGTATAGTTCTAACAAACTTTTCTGGCTTGATTTACAGGCCATCTTCAGGTTAAAAGCCATTCTAACTAGAAGGAGTTATGTTGAAACTAGTACTAAACCAATTGGACAAAACAAAAGTGAATTACCTACACCTAGAAATAGAGATCATTGAGAACAAAATAAATCATGAAAGTTTATCACAAACCAAATTCACCTTCCTTTTTCATACCTGCTGCTTCTAATGGTCCAAGGAATTTTAAAATAGTGGCATTTAGAACACTTGTTCAAAGAGCTTACATACATTGTTCTAGAAATACATGGCAAGGGGATGGAATCTATTAAAAAGCTAGCAACAAAACA